TTCTTATAGTACGAGAAGTTTCCTATCAGATGATATCAAACTTGCTCGCAAAACTTTTCACTTTTTAAACACAATTTCAGGTTGAAAAACGCCATTACTTATGGGTTAACCCAATAGATGGAGAATGGCGGATGTCATGATGAGCAGCTATTCGATATACTATCAAGCGGGGCAACTTAATCTTCTCCTGCCTCGAGCTCATAGAGTCCACTTTTCTTCACCAGTATTCACTTTACATTGTGTCATTGTGTTCTGCTGCTACTAATTAATGTTTGATGTCTGCCTAATACGACGGGCTGCAGGAAAAAAACTGTAAGAGAAGTATCTGCTCGATATCAATAAAGCAGCGAGCTTCAGCGCTAGGAAATATCACAGTATTTTAATTCGAGAGTAGAGAGAGAAAGTGACAGGTGCCTGCATATCTCCACCATAAGTAACTTTGCAAGTGGGAGTCATGTTTTCGTGTGAGCTCAAGATTTCACATAGGAAAAGCTGCTCGAATATGTTCGGTAGTGCAATATTGAGACCGCGAAATTCTTGCATCGCCCACGGTGCTCACTGTAAGAGATCCAGTGACCCTGTAACTTGTTGTGTTTTCTCGGCATTAATCCATTTCTTATAGAATGAACCGCTTTTCATTCCTAATCAGAATGAGTCCTCAAGATGCCATCTGCAGGCCTCCCTCATGTTTAACTCCTGTTCAAGTTCTCCTTATTCAGTGGGAATAGCTTCATTGTGATCTAGCTATTTTCCGCGTTCTCACGCTGCTTGGGTTTAGCAGTGTAGGGTATTTTATGTCTCGTAGGTGATTGCTTAGAGAGTACAGGCATCATGGCAGCTTGGGCACATTATAAGCAGTCTACATCTCACTAGCTAGAACTCCCAGTGAGATCAGTTTTATTTCAGGTTGAGTTGAAGGCACGTTCATTCGATGTTCCCATGCCCTCTCTGGATATTATAGCCCTCCCTGCGAGGATGCAGGATGTACTAGTTTTGCATCTTAAAATAGCGAGAGGATGGCGCGATTCGCTAGTGGGTAGTCGGCCGTCCCGCCCACCTGCGACCACAACGCCCATCTTCATTCTTAATGGTTGGTGCAGTTGTCCTTCTGCTGATTCTCCACTATGAATGGTGAAAATGAGGTGATAAGGAGAAACAGCTCATATCAACAAGTGAGAAGTCGCGCGACCGCTCTCTCTCTCATTGCTTCAAGCACGTACAACCGCAGTTCGGCATGAGGTTCTTATAGGGCATTTTCCACGGTTTCCTTTTGATTTTTCTTCACTAGTGTGTTACTTGCTACCCTGTTATTACTATCTGAGCCGCATAATCATCAAATTTGAACGCGGGCTCAATCAGCAGCCTGCATTTGCTCCTAATAAGATCAGCAGCAAAGTAACAAAGTTTACATCATAATGTGTATCTGACATGCGTAGAAGGTGCGACGGGAAGAGGCTGATTGAGCCATTGACGACGTTCGCTACCACTGGCTGTTTTCTTCCTAAACCGACCACTAATGGTGGAAAACGCAGCAGAGGGTGGACTCATTAGACGCCTAGTGACACTGCCCCTCCCCCCCCCCGAACTGCGACGATATCAACTATACCTAGTATTTTAACGGCCACTTGAACCTAAGGCCTTTCAGTTGAATGGCCGAACGATGTTTCATTCCGAATGCGGTTGAACCAGCAGCGGTGGTGGAGGAGCGTCACCGGTCACAGTTCCTCTGCTCGGTCTACTGAATGGCTAAGGGTCACAGATGTATGGAAGTGCTCTTGGTTTTCTGTCTTTATTCCCACCTCAAAATTATACATGGTTTTCTAACATACAAAAATCGTTTGTTGAGCAATGAAGCTTGCAAATGTGAATTTTTCATTTGTGTTCCCCCTAATAAAGCATTTGCTCAATAAGGACTGAGTGAATCGTGCGGAAACTAAAGAAAAAGTGACAGTGGTGAAGTTGACAACATTAGTAAAAACACCTTATAACTAAAAATAAATACTCTCTCGAAACAAGGTGAAACATTGGAAAGTAATCCAAATATTATGATTAACTAATGAAAAAATCAGTCTACCCATTCAATGTTCAGGACTCTCTGCAGGAAACTGTATGTATCGACATATCCAGCTATCTGAAAATAGATTTCAAAACCCTGAATCATTCATTACAACCCAATCAATCAACCCACCTGTTTGACAAAAGACATCCCCCCTCCACCATGACCAGCTTTCTTCTCGACACGTACTAGAAGTGGGTTGGTCTGGAGTTTGTGTTTTTTGGGCCTACAACAATTTTTGTATAGAGAAATGAAAAGCGCAAAGACTCCTCGCACTTCCTTTTGTGTAATTCTGTATTGAAATCTCCGGAGTCACTGAAAGGCGCGGCTGGTGAGCAACTCATCCACGCACCTTCTTACGGATTTTTATACGGTGATTGAGAAAAATCGCTAAGATGAGCGGCACTCGAATGACGTCGTTCCTCAACCCCGCCCACCGATGCAATTCTAGACGGTGCATTTATCAAAACAGTGCGCTCATTGATGCTTATTCAGATCAGCCGTTCCCAGCGCTCAGTCACATCTAGAAAATCACGGCTTTTTCAAAGAAAACCATCCTAAAACCTCCCCCCTCTCTAACATGTTGCTAACGCTCTGACCAAATTGTCCCACAATTCTGCACTCTTCAGTGAGAGAGGAGAAAGGTTAGAGACGCTCCCTATCAAGTACTAGAAATGGTGGTTTTACGGCCTACTTGGCATGGAAGGAGAGGGAGAGGGGAGGTAGGGAGTACGGCCCTGCACGGGTCCGATTCATAACGAACGGCGTGACCTACTGGCATGTCGGCGACTATTATCGCTTCAGGGCTACTTGTGTTATTACACCTGTGCCGAGCCGCCCAAATGTGGCCGCGGAAATCTAGATAGTAGGGCAAAGGAAAAAGTCTTCGCCGTTGATCAATCCCTTTGTGGGATGCGGCACGCATTCTACTTCCATCAGAATCGTAGTGGCTTATTGAATGCAGATGTGGTCTATTCAATGAGTTGCTGGGACTAGCCGATGAACAAGTCAGTGCTCTTATTCCCCCAGATGAGTCTGGTACCAAATAACCGTCCCCGTGGAATAGACGGCCTGGTTGCCAGGGCTGGAGGTCGACGCGAGATTTCAACCCAGGATCGCGCAGGTGGTAGGTGCGCTACTTGTCACTACATCACCATTACTTACATTACCATTATTTTTATCACATGCTACAGCTTCTTTTGAACTGCTTACTTTTTCTTGTTTCAAAAGAAGAGTACTCCCGCAATGTTATGTTTTCCAACCAACTCGCCTTTCCACTTCAGTCATGACAAGACAAAGAAAGAAAAAGAAAATAGTTAACCTTCTCATACAAGGTAGCCGCATACTTCAACGTATGACTTGGAACAACGCGGTCATCATGATCAGCAGTCATCATTAAGGTTGATGGCCATTGCCCATCTTTGGGGAATTTGACATTGTGTAAAGGAGAATACCTTGAACAAACTCTTGATGAGTTAATGAGTTAGTGAATCTCGATTCTTCTCACGACATTTTCAATCTCAGACTTAGAGTAGTGGTTCCTTCCCCGCATAAGCCGTCACTGTAATCCAGCAATGTATTGTGTTGGCCCATAAGTGATGGCGCTTTTTTCTCGCACAAATTTCCATATGCGAGAAGATAATTGTTTCCTGTGTTATAGGCTATCGGGCTATTTGACAGATAACTCTACGCTCTACAATACGGTCTAGGTGTCTCGATATGTTTCCACTTATTCGATTTCTATTTCATTGAAACGGAGTGCTGGTTCACACAAATAAGTTTTTGACAACCAACAATTTCTTCCATTCGAATCTTGGCTCTTGAATTGCTGGAACAGCTTCAAAGTTGTGTTTATATGAAGGAACGGCGATACAGAGATGGAAGTACGGACCTTGTAAATGTGCATCGCATGGGGCGCGAACGTGTAACCCTTCAAAGACATCTACCGTTTCTCCACCCTTTGCTATGAACCTCCCTGAATAAGGTGATTTAATAAGCTCACAGCTGGCTCCAGTAGGGCATTAGGTTAGATAAATAAATACCTGTGGGGGGGGGAGCAAAGCAGTTCTACTTTCACCACTTGTAAGTGTGACGCAATGATTTATGATTTATGATCTATTATCGGCAGTCTAGTTACATCATGACAAGATGGAGCCCTCTGAGCTGAATGCTTTAGTCTGGTCAGCGAGCGTATGCGTCGTGTATACAGGGAGGGGGGGGGGGGCAAAAAAAGTCACTTCGACCGAGTCACATATCAGCAAAGTTTTCGCAGCCCAGACAGAGGACGTGGATACGAGTACCAGGGCGGAAGATACCCAAGATGTTCCGATAAGCAGGAGCTGGCTCTCGCCCATCACCTTCATGTACACCAAAATATGAAGTCATCTCCAGTCGCAGCCTGACTGGAGAAGACCTTTGGAATTCATGTCACCTCCAAACAGCTGCGAAACTTCTAGTATGGAGTCACCCATGGATAGCTACCTGGAGACCAGTACTCTCGATCTGGAAGACCTCCAACATCGAGCAGCTCCGACAACGTCGCCACGGTCTAGGACATCATCTTCACCGCAGTCGCCAAGGCGCCAGTTGATGGTGGTGGACGTACCTGGAATGGAAAGACCGATATTTTCTTCGTGGACCCCGGACTGAAGGTGAGCGCTGGCGGTTACATCGAGCAACTCGAAC